ACGAGCCTTTGATGTTTCTTTAAAAGCTAAGGCATAAATGGCTACATTGTATCTCCAAAACTACAATAATGAGCTTCATCATTTTGCATATTTACAAGGAAGGTAACCATTACATAGACAAAATTGTCAATCTTGGCCTATCGTTAAACCAAATCTTTTTGTAGGACTCCATTCCAATTAAAGATAGAGTTGTTTTCTCTAGAAATAAATTAGACCTTCCTAACTATTATTGATTCTCTTTTTAGGAGGTTTTTCCTTGATCCCCTCCTTGTATTGTTTTCCCCTCTTTTTATTTAATATTTTTAATTAAAATAAAAAAATAGAAAAGGGAAATTGAACATAAAATATGAATCCTAAAAAATAAATAAAAATATAGGAGGCTTTGATGAGGTGATGCATCAAAAAATATAATTTGCTTTACTATATATATATATATATATATATATATGGGATTTTCTACTACATCCAATAAAAATTTTATGTAATTCCCAAAAAGTCCTTATATTTTCGGAAATGTATCTTCGAACGCATCCTTTTTTTAAAATTTCAATTAATTCTGGAGATGTATATTTGGAAATGTATCGGAGATGCATATCCGAGAATGTATCAGAGATACATTTCCGAAAATGTATGCAGACAGTAGCAGACCATAATTTTCAGTGTTTCACATGTTTTAACTACAAAATGAATACAAATACCATTATCAATACTATATTCACGATATTAATACAAAGATATATATATATATATATATATATATATATATATATATATATATATATATATATATATATATATATATATATATATATATATATATATATATATATATATATATATATATATATATATATATATATATATATATATATATATATATATATATATATATATATATATATATATATATATATATATATATATATATATATATATTCAACACTACAAAATGTATCCAAAGTCGATAACCAAAATATTATCCAAATACAATCCAAATTCGATAAATAAAATAATATCTAAAGTCAAAAACCAAATTACAATCCAAAGTATATAAATGTAAAGACTATTGCGTATGGCGGACTATGAGTCCGCTTGTCACCCTTTTGTCGTTCATGTATTGCCTCCTGTACTGCAGAGTCTCTCGAGCCTCCGCCGAGATGCCATCTAAAACACCTCTAACCTCAAAGCCATCAGGAAAAAATTCCTCCATCAATACTTGTTTGTCCAATCTCCACAATATGATGGCATCTAGGCAACACATCATGAGCATGATCGGCCTTAGCATGTCCATCCTTTAGAATCTTCTAATGAGTTGGCCTAGGTGGATTTCCTAGAGCATCATGTACCAAATATGGATGGGATACCTTGAACAACCATCAGATGTAACCGTCCATGTAGCTCCATTCGTCTGGTGCTTTGGTACTCCTTGCCTCATTTGGTACCAGATGATTAACATAATCATCAAACATGGCATATATATCCATGCGTTTCACCAGGGGAGGAGTACACACAATAGTATCCCTGGGAATATACTTCATGCATTCGAACTGACGCGTGACGCGCTCAAGAAAATGAGCAACCTCCTTGTGCATCCCGCAAGCCAATCATCTTGAGTATAACACAATATTGTCAAATGAAATCGTCATATGATGGTCGATGTATGTCTAGAAGTGTATATCATCAAAGACCAAGTTGTCTATATACACTTTGAACGACTATAATGTCTGGTTTCCTCAGAGCGGGTCGAATGCAGTAACACGCGAATTTACTTAAGTATACGTAGGATCAAGTGACCGACCGGATATGCGAGTGAAGTATTGTAGGATCCAGACTTGGAAAAAAACACGAATCATTAGTTAGTAACGGTGTTGCAATAATTTAAAAAAATTACACATATACAATATAAGACCAAGAAATGCTATTGTCAAGAGTGTGATATTGTCGGTCATCTGCTTCGTCTTCCACCTAAAACCTTCAGACAACTTAGTATACAAGTACACGAAACATACGCCCCTCCCCCCCCCCCAGTTGTACTCATGGATTCGCTCAAAGTACTGCAAGTATATGACATTCGTGCAAGTGACACTCGTGTCCACAAAAAAGGTTGTGCCAACCATATACAATGAGTATGCTCTCATAGCATATGCTATGTGCCGAGCTACCTTCTCGGGATCACCATCATCTTGTCGTGCTCTCGCTATCTCATCATCAAACACCTTCTATAAATAGCCAAATTTGGCATGAGCACCACGAGTCTGATCCATCTCCTTCATAGCACTCTTTGGGATAACTCCTAAGTACTCTACCATCAAGTCTGATTACTCCTCTTGCCACACCTCCCATGGTCTAAAAACCTCTCTCTTACCGGAAGATGCAGCAAACATGCGACATCGTCCAATGTGATTGTCATCTCACCATGTGGTAGATGGAATGATGACGTCTCATGATGCCATCTCTCAACAAAAGCGTTACTCATATCATGATTAACGGTAATATATCCATAGATGGTCAAATCTTTCAACCTGAAAGCTGCAAGACATTTTGAAACCATGGTTCACTGGGAGCTGTCAAGCGAGTGATCTTTCAAGCATGATTAATGATCTTTAGCGGATCATGTTCATGCATACATGGTTTAATAGAAATGATTCAATCAAACAAAACTTGATAATAAAATAAATACTACAATAATAGTTTGAACCAATATTTACCTCTTCGTCCCAGATATGTTTGGCAACATGGTCCTGGTATAGAGGGAGTAATGATAAATTGGAAGGCCCTCCTTCAAAAACCTAAGGTTCTGCAGGTGCGGCCTCATTTGTCTAGAGTTGGGACTCCTGTGATGCCTCAGGTGCTGCATAGGACTGAGTCTGGGATGCATCAGGCACTGACTGTATGGCCTCGGGTGTCAGTTGGGAGTGTGATGTCTCTTTTTCCTCAAATACCATAGGTGAAGTAGTGCGTCTACGAGAAGATGGAGGCGGGGAGGGATGAGCGGGAGAACCTCGCCTGTTGCAAGGGAACGAAAAAGAAGGTGGAGAAACGTGAACACCGGAACCTGTAGTCGTCTCCGCCATAATCTATCCAGAGGTAAAAGGAGCCTGGGATGCTTGACTTCTTTCCCTCTGAATCGAAGCATGTTGTGCAAGCATGTAGTATCTCAACTTAGATGTTCTTTCAGTCATAACTCTTATAGAAGTACAAAACAAACGTTACCAAAAGACTCATGTTCAAAAAAGGAAAAATGCAGACAAACTAATACCGGAGATGCATTTCTGATTTTGTATGTAAACGTTGAAAAAAACCGAAAATACAACTCTAATACAACATGCAACTTTCTGCTTCGCCAATAGCGAAGCTCGGCTACTAAGACCTCAAAAAATAGTCATTGATTGTTAAAACAACCTTACTAAAACATTTAATCTCCCTTCAAAGCTTGCAAACACTAAAAATACTTTAATTATCTAACCTAAAACTCAATTTCTATATGCATTTATATTAACTCAAAAAAGCTCAAAAAGCACTTACAATTTCTTATTTTTGTTGGTTGGTGAAGCTTGAACAATTATGTTAGATGATGTTTGATTGTTGTTTGTTGATTTCTAATGAGATTTTCGCACAAGGGAGTATATTCGCACAATGAATTTTGAGAGGATTTTGAGTTTGAGGTTCAAAATGTATTTTTGAAATGAGGAAGGAAAAGAGACGAGTGCGTGTATTTGTGTTAACATATTTCAGAAATATATCCACGGGACCCTGCCGTGAATGTATGTTCGAAATATTTATACTGACATATAAAATTTCTTAAACTAAATTATAATTTGCGTTGAGATGCTTTTAAAAATACATCTACGAGATCCTTCTCTTTTATAAGGTGTTATTCATCGATTGTCTAATTAAGTGTACTTTAAAAATACATTTCTAAAAATTGGAGACATATACGTATCTTATGAAATATTTTAAGAAATCTCAATATAGATCGATATAGATTATATGTGGCTCAATCCACACCAGTTAATTTAGTCTACTTTATGCAATCAATAACATTATATCGACAAAGACCGGGACAACATGAGAAATCAATAACATTAATTAATATATCGACAAAGACCGAGACAACATGAGAAACATGAGAGAGTGGGTAACAGTATGGAAAGACACCTATAAACTAATGAAATAATAAATTCAATAATGGTCTAAAGAAGTGGCCATATTTAATTTTAGAGTGCATTGAATATATTATTCCACTGTTGAGAATCTCTGAGAAGTTTTAAAAATAAATAAATAACACTGTACTCGTTAGTATAGTTTCATTCAACGGTGCTCCACACAAACATAAATGTAAAACTATCTTTCAACAAAAATTGACCTATCAACCTTACATCACATTATTCATACATCTAACTCCCACGTGATTTTTTTTTTTGACATATATATGTATAAACACACTGCTGTCACCGGCCACACCACACGAGTTATTACCACTTACCACTGGCACCAGCTTATAAACCATATATGAAAAGAAAGATGTAAAACTTTTATAACATATACACCGCTTCATTTTTTCAACCTATCCTTTAACCACTATTATGCCCGTCATTATCATCATCAACAACAACAACATGCATAACACATTAATAATTAATAACAGTCACACACCAACTCGTGAGCCACGCTAGATTTTCTCAACAACCAAAAAAATACATCAATACTTTATCCAACAAAAAAACATTTTATTAATATATCAAGAGTTTAGATTTTACAAAATTTTGATGCACACAAGAGAGGAAAGACAAATTTCCAGACACTAAAACAGCCTGGACATATTTCTAAGACCAAAACAAAAAACCAACAAATTGGTGGGAAATGGAATATTAAACCAAAAAAACATATGTGAACAAAAGAAAATGCATATACCTATAAATAAAATTGAAGAAAAAAACAAGACAAAAAAGGTAACGGGCCCTCTAAATATTCATTGGTTGAATGAATCATTTCAATCTTCATTTGAGTTTTCTGGTCCCAGCTGCTGCAGCTGATTTGTCTTCTTTATCAGGAAAGAATCTCGGAAGGTTTAATAATGTGTTGACACGCGATACACCTTCAAGAGCAGACCACTCTTTTTCTGCCTCAGCATCTATCTCTATCTCTTCCTCGTTGTGGTTATTATTATTGATTTCTCTGCATGTTCCTGATCTTTCTAGAGCATTAGGTTCAGAAACACCTTCGTTATCACCGTAGTCGCTGACTTGAATTCCTGAACTTTGAGGATGCTCTTTGGAATTGTTTGCATGAGAAGCAGTGGAGATTTTATGTATGCCTGAGTCTAGAAAGAGACAAATCACGGCACAATCGTCAACTTTTGATGTTGGATATTTGTATCTCCATGCTCTAACTGCTAACTCAACCAGTGATCTAGCTGCTGTTGCACGCCTTGGTGCAGCTGCTATTATGTCTACCACTTCCTTGTTTGATAGGACATCCCAAATCTGGACATATACAATCACACACATAATATACTTGAGATGGATATACGGAAAGAAAAAAAAAACAAAAACGAAAAAAGTAGTAACATAAGATGATAACAAAGCTTAGGACCTGTATGGTTAACGTTTTTTTTTCTTTCATATTTTCAAAGTTTTAGACAGAAAATAATGATAACATTTTTTCTTCTTTCTATTTTTATGATTTTGCATACGAATCTTTAAAGAAGGAAAGTGACATTTTTGCAATTACAACTGAAAGCAAGAAACAATGACAAATAACATTTCTCAAAAGGAAAAGGGGTCTTAATAAACTAGATGGTTGAATTCAAGTGGCTAATGAGAACATTCAACTCAGAACGAGTATATCAGAATACCCAAGATTTGAATCTTTACCAAAACAATCTTTGGCTACGCTTTATTTCTCTTGGTAATCGAATGGTTAACACCAAAAAAAATAGGTTATTAATAGAGGCAAGTGCAAGTATTATTATACTAGAATAGAAGTCAGGTATCATACCCCATCGGTTGCCATGACAACAAACTCATCCTTCTCAGTGAGTCTTCTGTGTGACACATCTGGAACAGATATTAGTCCAAAATCTTTCAGACAAAAATCTCCAAAAGCCCTTGCCATGGCAAGGCCAGGGGAATCATTGTTCGGCAACCAGACTCGACAAACATCAGGTTCATCACGAAGAGCAAAAACACGTCCTCTACATTTGCGAATTCTCTCTGCTTCAGCTGTAAAAGAATAAGAAAAACGTGAGGTAAGACTTATAGACAATATATGCACGCAAAAATCTCTATTGGTCCCTTTTAAGCCTTACCTAATATAATTCATGCAGATTTGTTATTCAAAAGAGTATACATAAAATATACTTCATGGACCATTCATAATTTCCAACAAGTGCATATATTGACGCATAATAAAAAACATGCTAACACAAGAATAAACTATGAAAAGCGTACATGACTATTGCTTGGCTTGACTTAAGATGTTTGACAGTCTGATGCCACTGTTGAACAAAGTAAGCAAGAACTATACCTGGAAGATTAGGTTTTAAATCCACAGTTAACTGGACTGCAGCAAGAGAACCATCTTTCTCCCTTGTACCCAATACAGCTCTAGAGTCACCAATATTTCCAATAACAAGATCACGACCCTATAGGAAACACAAAATCTTCCATTGTCAGAAATAATTCCTAGCGAACAAATCAATTGCCGATCGCAGAAAATTACAGTTTGCTCACATTTTGTCACACCACCAATACTTTGAATTAAATAGTGTGTCACAGAACAATAGTGATTTGTTCAAATAGTGTTACATTATAGATAGCACTGCTACAGACGCTATTTGACAACACTGAATGCGAGAGGACCACTAGTTGTCCATAGATTTACAAGTCAATACCTGCTTAACCAAAGTTACTGCTGTTGTCCCACTACAGAAGCAATCAATAGTTTGGTGAGTCTTCAATTCTCTATCCATAACTTTGAATGCCTTTAAAAAGGAATCTCTAAGTGATTGAAAGATTTCTGGGAATTTTTCCATTTCCTCGGCATCAACGGATACCCTGGATTCCTCATCAGCAGATATAAATGCTGTATCTTCCGAGTTTGTGCTTCCAGTAGCATTATTGCTAATCTCCTTGAGGACTTCCCCACCAGAAACATTAAGTTCCCAATGAGTATTCAGTTTTAGAGGAAGAGAATCCCTCACTCTTTTCGCAACCATATGACCATATGGACCGTGGCCATCGAAAACTCCACAGAAAATTGTATCTTCTCTAGAACAAAAGTTCTGCAATATATGATAAACAAATGGCAAGTATCAGCAATTAGAATTGTCTAAACATAGCTAACAAAGTGTTGCAACATATAGACATCTAAACATTAATTGTTTTGCTTCAATATTAGATCCTCAATGAAAAGCTAGTAAGCAAAAAGAAAAGAGTGTCAAACATAGCCAACTATGAAGTAAATCATGGATTATGGATAAGGATCCGTGTCTACCACTATGGAGCTTTGACGCACAAATACTAGACAACACTCACACCACACATATGCACTAGAAATAACTTAAGACAAGGTGATTGAATTTAACCACATATGCGGGACATATGTCACATGTTGGTCAGCAGACATGCTTTGGTCGAAAGTACAAGTGCTACAGAGGCTACCACTACCATGTACAAAACCATATATATTTGCAAAGAGAGCAAGGAAGGTTCTGCTTGATCAAAAGTCTATGCACAGAACATAGAAAATACAAATATATGTGCAACTAATGCAAGGTATGAAATCCAAGGTTTGGGAATAAATCTGATTTAATATTTGGATTGAATAAGATCTTGAGTTGTGAGAACAATGAGATGAAAAATGTTGCAAAAGCTAAACAAAAAACAAAAGACAAAAAAAAAAATGGATATTGTTTGAATTAAAGAAAATGTGAAAAAGATCTAACCTCCCAAACAACCATGGCATCTTGGTTGGTACCCTTCTTGCCTTGTTGAGTGAACAAGGAAGCAAATTCAGATGAGCCATTAAGGAATACCCTATCAGGGATCCTATGAAGAGGTTCATTCCTCCAATACTCAAACGAAGAGCCTCTTGATCCGTGCTTCTTTTTACTGTTTTTTCTGCTTTTCCTAGAAGATGAGGAGGAGGGCGAAGTGGGGTGAGGGCTCCTGCTTTCCGCAGAGAAGCAGGACCCCATCTTTAGAGCCCTTAGAATGCTTATTACACAATCCAGACCACCTGAACAAAAGCTTGCTTCTCTTGACGAATCCGTCACAACCCACTGAGTAAAAACACAACAAAATCAAACCTTTTCACAAACACCTCACCTGCAACCTTAAAACTCAAACAACCCTTTTCTTTTCTGAAGATTCTATCGCAGTTACAGTTGCAATTACACAATTTTCAGATTGAGATTGGTAAATGGAAGTCATTCATTCATTCATTTACAATCATCAAATAAGATAAGGATAAGACAGATACTAATGGAAAACCAAAACCCAAAAACAAAAGAACAATTTTTTATAAGTTTTGTTTATTATAGAGTAATAGATTATACACACATGTACATAAAGTGTAGATCTATGTTAATCCACTGAATTTCCCCAAAAAGACACAATTTTTTTAACAAAATGAAAGAACAAAAGAAACCCAAATGGTAGATAGAGATAGTGAGTATATTTTTGGGACCCGGAAAGAAAGTTGTGGTGTTTGGATCAAGGGTTGAGGATGGGAATGGAATTGAAGAGAAGCGAGAAAAATGAGGGTGAAAGAGAGGCTGAAAATGGGTTTATAAACGAGAAGAGGGGAATGCGAAGAGAGAGAAAACGACAGGGTAAGAGTGAGAAGCGGAGAAGATGAAAATGGAGAGACAATCGGAAAAAGCACGGAGATCGCAGTGAGTCAGAAACTCGTTCTTGTGTTGAGTTTGTAAAATCTCGATTTTAGAGAGAGAAAGTGAAGAAAAGCTGATGTGTGATAGAGTTTATAGACTTTGAAGAAACGGGGAAAGTCTCTTTAGACTTTTATTTAATATAAAATGATTCATTATTATTATTATTTTTGGATAAGGTTTTATTTTATCATGAAAAAAATGTAATAAAAGAATAGAGTTCTAGATTTTTTTTTAATAAAATATTTAGAAAAGTGTTAGTTAATTAATACTAGTTAAGGAAGCTTACTAAAATAAATGTGTTATCTCTATCTCAAATTATAAATTGCTTAAAACTTTAGATATAATCTTTAATTTAGAAAAATAAATTAATAAAATTAGAAGAAGATAAAATAATCTTTTTATATCAAAGTGGAATAATTTGTAAAATTAATTTAGAGTTAAAGATGTTATTGGTCTTTATAAATATAATTATTTTTAATTTTTTCTTAAATTTTTTTTAAAGAATAAATCTTTTAAAAAATTTCATCCACACAATTAGACTTTACCATTAAATATCTCTAACGGATGATGATGTGGCAAGACATGGAAAATAAAATATTTTTTAACTTTATTTTTTTCTGTTTTAATGGTGTTACATGTGTACTTATTTTACTGAGTAATTTTATTACTAATGTAAATGATTATTTGAATTGCAAAGTAATATACGAGAAACCCTAATTTCCCAAATATTCTTAGTTGTCGCCGGTCATACCTTTGTCTCCATTGAAATCCAATATGTTTCATGTTTGTGCTTCATTGATAGCAAACGAGTGTCAGTGCTAGCCACATAATTAAATCCTTTAATTTGCATAAGCAAATTGTTTAAAACTGTAGATATAAAAGTGGAGTCATGATGTGATGTGTCTTTTGCAACAAACTTGTGGATTTCATTAGTAACTTCAATCTAAATACAACTTGGTTCTTTTACAACCCCGCTTATGTCCATTTTCCCCTCAATATTCTAACATTTCCCCGCATGCATTTTGATGGAAATATATTTGAAAGCAATACACATGATCCATTATTTGTTGGGTTGCATGAAATTGTCATCTCAACTGCATATGTTCTCAATTCAACATGATTTGAAACTCTGCATGAACTTAGCAAGCTACTTCATACTACTGTTGCGAGTTTTATTGGCATCTTCTCGATAAATTCCTTAGCTTTATATACCTTACCATCCCGGCCCAAGAGAGAAACCATGCATGCATAATGCTTAATTCCCAGTTTAGTTCTAAATTATGACATTTAATCAAAGTGATCAAGTCCAAGGCCAAGAAGTCCAGAATGGCTACATGTCGATATCACACCTACAAAGGTGGGATAATTTGGTTTCACTCCCTCCATAACCATGTGTTCAGACACCTGAAGTGCTTTTATTGCTTCTCCGTGCGAGGCATAAGTTGCAATCATTGATCCAACATGTGATGTTTTTTCAATTTGTTGATTTAAATGTTTTATGAGCTTCTTCAATGCTTTCACTTTTGGCATAGATATCAATTAGAGCATTTACAACAAATGGTTCAACATCATAACCCATCTTTATGACCTGGTTATGGAACTACTGAATGTGTCGCATACTTGCCATATTACTCGTCGTTATGATTACATAAGCAAAAGTGAACTCATTAGGTTTTAGTCTTAACATTTGTATACATTTGAGAAGTTTAAGAGACTCTTCATTTTCAAATTGTTTGGTGTACCCAGAAAACATCACATTCCCACATGACTTGAGAACACTAGTGCAACCAAATGCATATGCATACCTTTAAAGACATTTTACTTCTTCCTTGTTTCAAATACCCTGCAATGATTGTAGTCTACATGAAATTGGTTTTAACTTCTAGGCCGTCTGTGATACGGTGGGAGAACTGACTTGGGTGTTTTGTATTTTATCGCAAATGTTGCGGTTAGTAAGAGTCGCCACCGACTTTTCTTTTATCCAAAAGGAAAGACTGAAAAGAACAAGAAATACTTTTGAGATTATTTCTTGAGTTCGGGGGGAGATTATGAAAAGGGAAGGTGTTAGCACCCTTTTCATCCATAGTTATCTATGGGCTCTTAGTTGCTTGCTAGATCACTTACTTTTGTTTGAAAATATGCTTTGTGTGGTTTCGAAAATATTTTGAAAAGGCGCCTTCGTTTAGGCAAACTTTGTAATAGTTCTCGTTCGTAAGAACGTATACAAAGTGTTGGGCTTTTTGAAAATATTTCATATTTGGAAAATGTTTTTGAAAATGTTTTTTAAAATGTTTTTGAAAGTGTTTTTGAAAGTTTTTTTGAAAGTGTTTGGTGTTTGTTTTGAAAATAAGCAAGGATGTTTGGTTTGAAAATGAGCAAGCAACTAGGAACAATCTACCTACTCAAAAGTCTTAGTTCATTTCTTCCTTCCTTTGATATTTCTATCTTATCATTGATTGGTAAGAAGCCTTATCTTTGGATGTAAAGGGACGGGCGTGGGTCATCGTATAGTCATGATAGCAATGTTGTGAGATATCTTAGCATTTTCTCTTGAGGGACTAAGATCATTTTGAAAGGCAACATTGATAGCATCATCGAGGGACTATAATCTTGTATTATTTGATTGTTTTTGCTAAGATGTCCCACATGCATAACATGGCCATTTTTATAAGGCAACAAAGTGGAATTACCCTAAGGGTGCAAGTGTACGAGTGTGTTTGATTTACATGTATTGTTTATCTCAAATTAGGGTTTGCTACTTGTTGATTTTAGTTTGTCATTCAAACCCTAATTACTAACATTTATATAAAGCAATAAATTGCGAAAAGTAAAATTATTACGCTATTACATCATTAGGGGAGGGGGTATATGTAACACCCCGTTTTTGATTAAATGTTAATTCGGTTATTTGAAATAAAAATATTCATAATGATAAAATACTATTTTGAGTAATATTAATTTGGTGTGTAGTAATATTTGACTTTGTTTGATTAATTGGCATGATTAGGTTTATATAGAATAAATATTATTTAAAGTAATATTGTTTAATAGGGTTATATATTATAATTTGAATTAAATAATTGTTGGGGCCAAATTACAATTTTAGAAAGATAGAGGGAGGAAAGTTAGTAGTAGAAGGAGAGTTTTATAAAATAGAAAAGGAGAGTTAGTAAAAGAAGAAAGAAAGGAGGAGAAAGAAGAAAGAAAAGAGGAGAAAGAAGAAAGAAAAGAGGAGAAGAGGAGAAAGAGAGCTAGGCTTGGAGTTGCAACATCTCCATCATCTTGTTTCAAGAAAACCCACACCAAGGTAAGGGGTTTGATTCTCCATCTCATATTGTTAGGTTTTGTATGATACATTTTGGATTTAGGGGTAAAATTGATAGTTGATTTTTAGGGTTTTGTTGGTTGATTGTTAGAATGGTTTAGAAAAGTTGGATTAGGAGTATGGTTTGTGGGTGTATTAAGTGCTAGCTTGTGGAAATTAAGAGTATTGAAATGGGAAAGAAAACCATGGTAGTTGAATGAGAAAAACTCAAAAGAGTGGAGTTTTCACGCAGGCCTCACAACACGGGCCGTGTTGCAGCACACGGGTGCCCGTGTTGATGCTCTGACTTGGCTTTTCCCAAAAATCGTTTCGGCCATAACTTTTGAACCGTAACTCTGATTTAGGCGCCGTTTGATGCGTTGGAAAGCTAGTGAAATTTTCTATGTGATTATGAGTAATTAGGTAGCTTTAAGAGCTTATTTTAATAAGTGATTATTGGATAAAGTGTTTGTGTTTATAGGTGAATTTGATTGTTATGTATTTTAGTGAAGTGTTTGGTGATGTTTGGTGTACTAAATGAATGATCTTGTGAGTTATACATCAAATGCAAAATGCATTATGTTTTGATATGGTTTGAATGATTGGGTATGACAACATGTATGCTTATGTTTAATATGCATGTTTGTATGAAAATGATGATGCTACATGATGATATGGGAGGCTTGTGATGAATTGTTCATGACTAAATGATTTTTGTTGATAATGAAGATATATGTCCTTGTACATGATGATGTGATGATCATATTGATATTGTCGATATATGCTTCCGATTTGTGAATGCATGACTTTTGATGATGATGAATTATTGGTGATGGTTTGCATAATGCAAATATGATGCGATGATATATTTATCATGATGTGAATCGTTGATAAATGCTTCCTATAGTGAATGCATGACTTATGTGTTGATGAATTATTGTTGAGGGCTTATGCCTAATGTTGTTGTTGTTGATCGTTTTACCTTGGTGTTGGGTACTTG